AAAAAATATGAGAAAAGGAAAAAAATGGAAACAAAGTCTTTGTAAATAGGGAAGGGTGGAGGGGGTGAAGGGAGGGCAGGGGAAGGGGGAAAAAGATATGAACCAAGATGGATCACATAAAGGTACAAGATCCCAATGATGACTGTAACTGTACTTTATACCTAAAAAGTACCAATAAACTTAATGGAAAAATAAAAAATATAAAAGAGAGACTAGTTGCTGTGTACATCACCAAAATCCCAAAGCATAAGAAAGGAATGCATCTATCAAAGACATTTTATTGCAACAACAAATAATAATAACAAAAATAATACCTTCAAGGGGACCAGACATTAGACATATCCAAGCATACTATTTACACTTAAAAGCCTGCTGGATGTGGTGGCCCCAATCATGGGTATGCTGGGGGCCACAGCTAAGCCTCTGTCACCAGGACAGGCTGGGTCCCTGGTGAAATAAATCTGCAAACTGCAACAAACGTTCAGGACCCCTGGGCTCTGGGCACAAGCTCCCTGCCACCATGAACAAAAGGCCTGTGATTTCAAAGTGTCCTTGAGCTGACTCCTGTTTTATATCCTTTCCTTAGCCCTGGTCGTGGAAGGGCATGCGCTGGAGGAAGGGTCCCTTTGCTTACAGAGGAGGGTAGCTCATGGCAGAAGGTGGAGCCTGCTCCCTCCTCCGTTACTTGTCTTCTCAGCACAACTTTTGGCCTCTCTCCTACCTTTGGTCATGTGTTTTCTTCCTACCTCTCCTATCAACTAGCATTTCAAAAGCTCTAGAATGTACCCTACTCTAGACATCTCTAGTCCACATTTTCTTTTATTTATTTTTTTTGCAGTAGTGGAGAGTGAACCCAGAAGCCTGGTGCATGCTAGGTGAGTGTTCTACCACTAAGCTACATCACTAGAACTTTTAATTTTATTTTGAGACAGAATCACAATAAATTGCCTAGCCCGGCCTTGAATTTGCAGTCATCCTACCTCAGCATTCCAGGTAGCTGGGATTACAGGGATATAGCACCTTGCCTGGTTCTAGTTCTTATCGTTAACATCAAGAAGTTTCCATCTCCCCAGTAAGTCCTGAAGACCGAAAGACATTTCGCTTTCCTGTCTCTTCCGGGTAAGGCCAGGTCACAAGCTCCCAGCAGTTCAAAGCATGTGGGAGAGACAGATGTAGTGTCCCTATTCTCACCTGTCGGAGAGTGGACTTAAAGGCTGGTATGTTCTTCCTTTCCTGGGCGCTCCACAGCTTGTGGGTCAGGTCCCCAGGAGGATTAGGCCACACATCTCCTAGCTGTCAACTATAGAACAACATTCTTCCGGGGATGAGTACAGTACTGCTGGGGACTCTCCTCTAGGGGGCAGATGGTGTTGCCCTACCAGGAAAAAACACAAAACCAAACCAAAACAAAACTAACCATTGTCTGAGTACTTTGTACTGATCAGAGAAAAATCACCTATCCTACAAGTGCTAACAGCGTTTGTGCGCATTTGACTTCATAGATGCTTCTCCTTTTTTTGTACCGGGGATCAAACTCCGGTCCTTGTGCTTGGGAGGCAGGCAGCGGAACCACTGAGCTAAATCCCTGGCCCATAGATGCTTCTTTAGTAAGACCCAAGTTCCTTGCACCATTCAGAGGTTCTGTTCTGAGAGGCCAGCAGGTGTCAGGTGGTCGGGTCTGCACCCATGCATGCTTCTCCAAGTCCTTCTAAACACTCAAAATAGTAGCTTGTACATTGGGCTAGTGCTGTGGAGGCTCCAAATTTTCACCATTCTAGACAGAAAGAGAAAAAAAGAGAGACAAAACTGTTAGAGAAGAAACAGTCCAACAGAAACATATGAGAAAATTTAGATGCATAAACCATAAACATTATTGAACTTTTTCACTTTCTTCCTGTCCTTCCTTTTGTCTTTATTTGTTATTGTTTTCAAGGTTTTTTTTTTCTTTTTTCCTTTTCTTTTTCAGCACTGGGTTTTGAACCCAGGACCCCATGCATGCTAGGCAAATGTCCTACCATGGAGCCACACCCTCAGCTTTTTAAAAAAATCATTTCTCCTGTTGTCTCTCTTCCATTCCCTACCTTTCTCCTGCCCCTTCTCCTTCTTCTCACCAATATCCATTCCTTGCAGCACAGCACCCCATCTCTCCCCATACATGGTCACTTGTCGCGGGCATCCTCCTTTCTGCATGCCATTGAAACCACACTGAGCAGTGCCAGCTATGAGTATCTGGTACAAATCTAATGAGCCTGGCTGTTCTCCCAGCTCCTCCCAAAGGAAATGACATATCATTCCCTAACATGCCTTATCGCTTCAGAAACCAGCTGTGTTGAGGTTGGGGGGAAAAGAGAGAAAGTCACCTCGACACCAACTGGCTGGCAAGGATGCCACAGAACCACCCTTGCGTCCAACAGTCCTTTCCTGGACCTGACGTGGGACCTAAATCCTTAGCAGCTTCCGAGTTATGTCATAATCCCTGGAGCTGAGTCTGCAGCAGTTGATAACTTAAAAGGACCTCCAGGGCATCTAAATGGACCCACTCTTTTACAGATGAGGAAATAGAAGGCCCAAGAAATTAAGTGATGGTTTACAGTCACATGAATGGTCAGGGTTAGGGACAAAGTGGTGGCTACTTAGAATAGCAGGAGAGTTTCTCTTTGAGCTTTGTCTTTAAGAAAAAACAAAAAGTCTGTGGGGCAGCCAAGGATGGATGAAGATCTAATATAGAGGTTCCTATTCTGGCCTGAGGCATTTCACTCGGCATAACCCAACAGAAAGCTCTGACTCACCTAGCCAGAGAGCCAGGTGCGCTTTACTGGCCTATGTAGGGATTTTGGTGGTCTCTGGAGGCACTGGTCTTGACCCTGGGGAAGAGGTTCCCCTCAGCTCCTGGATTGCTGAACCCAGTCTGCTGTAGCTGCAGATTCTGGAAGTCATTCTCGATCAAGTTCTGCTCTTCGATGTTCTTCTTTCTGTTCTTTGAACTGTCATCAATTACATGAATTAGGGTCTGACAATGGCAGGAAGTTTCTTGAAGTATATGTTAATGCTTTCTAAAAATGTTTTAAATTTTCAGTAATTTAAAATTTACACCATGAGCTACAATATATGAGGTGTGATCAAAAATATGGTGATTGTTTAAATTTTTTAAAAAATGTATTACAGCATAAGACACACTGCGGTTGATCAAAAATATTCCCCCTCACTTTGAATACACATCCCATTGATTTTGCCACTTTCTGAAGCAGTTCTGGAAGTCCTTTTTTCATGAATATCATTATTTGCGCTGCCACAGCTGCCTTGATGTCCTGAATTGATTCAGAACATTTATCTTTTATGGTCATTTTGACTTTGAGGAAAAGTCAAAAGTCATACAGTGCCAGATCCAGCGAATAAGGTAGATAAGGACAAACTAATGTTTTTACAGGCCTGCTTGTCTCTTGGATGATGCTGGCAGCAGCATTCAGCATAGTTTTGATGATACTCATGAAAGAGGACTTTCAGAACTTCTCCAGAAAGTGACAACAATAATAGGGTAAATTGTTTGAAGGAGGGGGTACTTTGAAGGGGATTTATGGCAATGTGTCATTTACTGTAATAAAGTTTAACATCTAAACATTCATCATATATATAATGTATATATATGTACATATCCATCACCCAGATTTCCCGATTGTTAACACTTTGAACAAATCAGGACACTTAAGTTTGGGGCCTGAGCCCCGTTACCCATAGCACCTAATTATGTGGCTAGTGTAGACCCCTGAAGTTTAAGGACAGTCTCCTCACAAGCTCTCAGATGTAAATATCAGCTGACCCAACATCAACATCTAATTCTGGGTTGTTGTGTTTTTTTTGGTACCGGGGATCCAACGCAGGACCTTGCACTTGAGAGTCAGTTGGCGGCACCGCTGAGCTAAATCCCTGGCCCCATCAACATCTAATTCTGACAGCACCATTCAAGTGTGGCTAATAATGTCCGTATTCATTTGTTCATAGAACTAATAATCGAAGTCAAAGAGAAACAGTGATTTGTGTGACAGTTTTTCATTGAAGCAGAGCCAACATCTGCAGAAGCATCTCTGTGAGTAAAATGAGTTCAAGATTCCAAGGTCTTGAAAGGAGAAGTAGGGTTTCCTGGAGCTGCTGGGGCCCCTCAAGAATCTCCGGGGGAGGTGTTGAAAGCCAAGTGTAGGCTGTGGGGGCCAGGGTCTACTCTCAAGTCACTCTGACCATGACTTTCCCTCCCTCCCCGGTCCAAAGGGTGTGGTCCTGCTCCTGCAGTGTCTTGGAGTGGGGCCATTGGATGGATGACACCGCAGGTGCACTCCCAGGATGGCAGGGACTCTGGGGGCCAGCCCAACCCAGAGTCCCTGCCTTTGACTCTCTCTTATCCAAAGTGGCTGAGCACAGACCTTCCCTCCCTACCAAATGGGCAATAGAATGGAAATTCTCGCTGTGATCTGAGAATCCTAACTGTGTAGCCAGGACAGGAGCACATCTGGCTCAGCAGCAGGAAGAGGAGCTGAGATGCATGGATGTCACCTGTGATGTCACCCAAGTCACCTGGTGATCCTCACAGAGCCGGTTCCTGGTTCCTTCCAACTGAGTCTCTGGGAAGAGCTAACATCAGAATGGAATAAAACACAGTGGAGAAGGAGGAAGATATCTCAGGGACCTAAAATCTCTTTCTCCTAATTCTTATGGGAAAATACCTATTTTGCCAAAATATAAGGTATGAACTAAATGTTAGAAAAAAGTACGAAGCTTGTTTTTAGCAAAGTAGATCCCAAGGCCCATGTGGGATGGAGAGGAGATAACAGTGTCCTTTCCCCGTCAACAGGAGGAAATCTGGCAGGGCTAAGTATTTGTTAAATAAAAAAATGGGCCCTGCTCGCTCACCCTTAAGAGGAGCAAACTTAAGGCACCAAGCTGAGAAACAGCCACACTGATACAACATTCCTACTTTTTTTTTAAAACCCAAGGGTTCAGATGAATTTAATCTTACACCATTTGCAGCAGGATCCTGGGCAGGAAAGTGACTTGGTGAAAGTTATATTTGATAACATTAATCAAATTAAATGTTGTTGACAAAGAATCATTAATGGCATAGGAAAATGATTGTTACATCCTTCTAAGTGTTAAGCAAAAATACACCTTAAAATTTTTTAAAAAACACAAAGGATATACAACTATGTAATATCATTTAAAAATACGGAAAAAATCTCGAAGGATGTATACTAAAATGGTAGTTGCCCTAGGGTGGTGGGTTTTATGGGTAATTTTTTACTCCACTCATTTCCACTTTTTTCTTTTTTCAAGATTTTCTTCGATAATCATTTATTTTATACAATCAGAAGACAGTTAAGGTAAGGGGGGAAAAAAGAGTGGTAATGGAGGGAGGGCCTCCCCTTATCTCCCTCCTCCTGCCCAGGAAAGGCTGCACCGGTTTGTCTGGAAACTGGTGTGTCCACAGGAAAAGGACATTTCCATCCCCTTACCTCATCAAGATGACCAAGCCAATCACCAAGCTGAGAATAAGGACGCCTGAAATGGTGCCCACAATAGTGAGGATCAGCTGAAATTCTGAAAAGGAAAAGAAGAGTAAGAATGGCCTTCAACAAGCTGGTCCCAGCTGTCTACCGCACAGGTCTGTGTGTTCCCAGTGACTCCCAGTTGAGAGGTGGATCAGGCTGCAGTTCTGACCCCTCCAGAGGCAGCTCACAGCCTTTGCAGCCTCTGCCTCTCCTACCTGTGTCTTCAGAACTCAGTCAGCAGAGGAAGCCCGGCCAGGTACAAGACCACAAAGACCAAGGAGGCTGATGGCAGAGGGCTCTTCCTGGGAATGGTGGGAAGCGGGTCCAACTGAGGTTGACACCTCTCTCTTAATTACCTCTGCTGCCTCAGCCCTCCATACTCCTCTTACTGAGGGACTCGGTTGGAGTTAAGTCTGTCCCTAACAGAGAAGCCAGGTAGCTTTCGGTTTTATCCTGCGGGAAGAGACTTGAGGCTGGTCCACAAGCATGTTTCTCCTCCAACTCTCACAGGCACTACCAACACTGCAAACACAGCTATGAGACAGCCTTCAATGTAACACAGGCACCAGATTCCAAACACCGAGTGTGAAAAAATGCGAAATGACTCATTAATATTCTTATATTGATTACATGTCCGAATAATATTTTGGATATATTGGATCTATCAATCTATATCTATATCTATCTCTCTCTATATATACTGGATATATACTTCTTTTTACTTTGAAATTTTGCTTGATTTGTTTTTGTTTGTTTTTTAGACAGAGTCTTGTACGTAGCCCAGGCTGGACTTGAATTCATTATGTAGCCCATGCTGGCCTTGAGCTGGTAGTAATTCTCCTGTCTCAGCCTCCTGAGTGCTGGGATTACAGGTGTGCACCACTACTCCCAGCCTTTTTCGTTGGTTTGTAAATTTTTGAAAAGTGTACTATGGAATCTGTGGCTCATACTATATTTCCACTGAAATGAGAGCTAATGCTGCTCTAGATCTGTGTCTTTCTGCCATGTCACTGCCACAAAGGCCACTTCCAACCTGGGTTCCTGGGGCCATAGAATGTGAAGTCTTGGAAGGATTTGAAAGGTCAGGTCCTCCGGTGCAAATTTTCATCTCCTCTTTTTAAATTTTTTGGTAGTACTGGAGATTGAACTGGGGGTCTCACACATATTAGGCAAGCGCTCTGCCACTAAGCTACACTTCCAGTCCCCAACCCCCCTTTCAATAGATGTGGAAACTTCCCAGAGGAAGAAATGACTTAGCAAACCTGTCCTTGCCATGAAAAGCAGCCAGGCTGAGGGCATCTGTCAGCATGGCCTCTGTCTGGCAGGAAGCTCAAGGCCGTATTTCCTGCATCTTCAATCACTGAGCTTTAGTTTTCTATGGACATTGTGGACACTATGGACACTATGGATATTATGGATATTTTTAAATAGTTTAAAATTTAAAGTAAGTATTGTCCCAGTCTGGTGGGAATGAGGCATAGGAGAGGATGAAGGAACTGAATTTGCAATATGTCCCAAGCCGGTAAAGACCTCTGAGACAAGAAGATTTGAGTATTTAAATTACTTGTTCCTGGGTTTGCTCTCCCACAACCAGTATATTTTGTAATATACTGCTCTTTTATCCTTATGAGTAGCAGAAAATTCATATTTGAGCAAATGTAGGGCATCAGTGTCATGATTTGGGGTGCCCTTCTCTAGGCACCAGCCTGCCCTGGCCCGGGGATCCACAGTGGAGCAGCTGCTTCCTGTAACCTAAGGACACCTGGGAGGCATGACCCACAGGACAAGCTGATTTTCTCCTCCATGAAAGAGCCAGAGGCTGGTGGGCTGGACAGGATTTTGAATGTGATTCATGGTTATTGGTTAATAACTTATTTATAATGTCAAGACTTTTATACTCACGGTCTTCACAGTCCATTCCACTGTAGCCAAATGGACACCTGAAATACAGTGAGCAACCAGAAACCATTTAAAGAGCCCCCGTGGGGAGTGGGCTGGACTTCCCACTCCCATCCCCATGTCTTCCTTCCCATCTCTGTTTATTCTGTCCTCCCTTGCTCCTTCTTTTTCTCTTGTCTTCTTATTCTCCTGTTATCCCAAGACAGCACCTCCCATAGGGCTCTGGAGGGCACAAGGGTCCCCAGTTCCACTTGCTCTCACTTGCCACCCCGGCAATTTTCTGCTGTCTGAGCTCCAGGAAGACTCAGCCATTCAGGTGGGGTTGTACCCAAGAGGGATGGTGTCACTGGACCCTCTCCAGGGGTGGCACCACCTAGCTCTACCACCTGCTTGCTGCCTCACCTGAAAATGGGTGACCAATACATTTCTGACAGTGGTTGTGTGAGAGGTACTATGTGGTGTGCTCCGTTCCTGGCACGCTGAGAATGCTCAGGGCTAGCGAAGAAGACGATGCTGCTGCTCTATCGACCAGCTCTGCCAGCTTCCTGACTCCAACCCCACATACGGGTTTCAAGCTCCACCCTTTCTGCCCAGCTCCAGTCACAGCAAGATGAGAATGGGCTGACTTCTCTTACTTTTGGCAGTTGTTGTTAAGAGTCTTACTGTAGCCCGGTAGGCATGCACACGTCAGTTCCCCAGTGCTCTTCTTTAAGCATTGCTTGTTGTTCTCTGGTTTGCAGTGTTCAGAACACTGTAAAGCTTCAGAACAAAGTAATTCCTAGGTAACTTTCAGAAACAATCTCTTCGAACCCAAAGGGACAGAATATAATTATTTCACAGTACTTTTTCTAAGTAAGATGAGGTGCTCATTGGCGCCACGCATGATCCACCCTTATGAACCTACCCACAAGCAGCCTCCCCAGCTCCTTAGCCAAGACCCCCATTCTAGTCTCTATGTCTAAAGCCCAAAGAGACATCACATAGTCTGAAATACACGTGGAAAGTCAAGCAGTGATGTTCATATTTTGCACATGCAAAAGGAAAGAAAGAGGGGTGGAGAACATTCCGAAGCAGATGGAATGCTTACCAAGACAGAAGGGGGACTGTAAGAAAGGTCTCTCCAGCCCATCTTTACACTGGCAATTTATAATATTGCTGCAGTTATCTTGATGAATATTTTCACAACCATAATAGTCACACTGATCTTGCTCTGTGAGAGACGCAAATTATTTAAAAATACATTCAGCAAGACAATTACAGATAAAGCAATTTTGTGAAAGCACTCCACTCCATCCTTGTTATACTTTGCCTCATAATACATTTTGGGACTTAACAAATGAGAACATGGGGGGATCCTGGAAGCCAGCCCCCCAATCCTTTATTCAATGACTAGTTCCTTATGTTATTCAGTTCAAATTCATTCCATCCAATGCAATGCAATCAGGCTCAGGGTGACAATCAGTTTTGCACCTGTCTTTGTGCTAGGTCCCATAAAGGGCATAGAAGCCATTACACTTTGGGGCGTCATCTTTGCAGAGCTACACCAAGCAACTCACAGTTCAGTTCTAGGGTTTGTGGCCCAGAGTTTAAAGATAATGAGATTTCAGTAGCTCAAGTAGCCAAGATACTATTGAGGAAAAAGTGGGAATTAGATAAGTCTTCAGAGATGGGGAAGATTGAAACAGAGGAGAGACAAAGGCTATTTAATTAGAGTAAAGAGTCATAAAAAGAAGCACAGAATTCTTGCTGGGGAACAGTGGAGTTGTGCTTGGGTAGAAGTGAGGTTATAGTGAGGTGAAAGAAATCTGAGAGCTCCTGGCTTTGCCATTTATTGGCTATAGGCTCTCTATTCCATAGTGTGCTTTTGGGTGAGTCCAACTTCCCTCCATCTAGAAAACTGGGTTCTTGTTTTGCATGATTGTTATGGGAACCAACGAAGTTCATGAACAGAATCCTCAACAAATCCTCATGCTTTTCTTCATTGAGAAGAAGTATGGTGGATTTTGAATGTCAGGCTAAGGACAATGCATTTTTTTCTGTAACCCAGACAGTCCTTGGTAGGTTTTGGGCAGAAGCAAAGCATGAGAAAGCAATCTTTTAAGAAAATTAGTCTATAAACAGATTAGAAAGCCTTAGAGGTAAAAAGAGGAATCTGAGAGTGGACTAGGGGGGAGAATAGAAGCAGGTAGGAGAATGGTGTGATTACTCTCTACTAAATATCCCAAACCATCACTAACCTTCCTTCCTTACCAGCAACTTGAAAAATGCCTCCAATTAAGAGTCTATAGGAAGATTCAATAACAGTGAGCAAAGGAGTCTATCTTAGCCACTGAAGCTGGAAAGCAGAGAAGATATTTTTCTCTACAAGTTATGAGGTTCTCGATTTCATTTTTTTGAGGTTTATGCTCTTGTGGTATCTGTAGAGGACACCATTAGGCATTTTGTTAATGTGTCTAAGAGCACATTCCTGGTGTCACAGTGGAGGGAGATGTTGTGGGGAGTTGTCTAAAAGGTAATCCTTAGACCTGGGGGCAAATGGGCTTGACTACACCAGGACCTGTAGCTAAGGCAATTTCTCAGGAGAGTGCAAACGAGAGAATTTCCCGGGCAGCTTGAACATTGTTTTAAGGAAGGCATGGACTGTTTTTAGCTGGGGACCACCCTGAGTGGTCAGGGCCTATGCTCATGGGGACATTCTTTACATGTGCTATAAGTCTCATCTAGCCCAAAGCAAAGTGTGTCCTAAGACCAAGGGAGAGAGATTCTGACTGCATGAAGTTTTACTCTGGACAAAATTGTAACCTCAACCAGAAGGCAGACAGAAGTGATGGGTCCTTTTGGAGACAGGGACCAAGTGACACCCAGAGAAAGAGAGAGAGAGAGAGAGAGAGGCATAGCGCATAGACAGATACATACTATAGATTTTGAGAGAGTAAATACTGAAACATTCAGAAAGGAAATACTATTATTCCCCTGGTATGAAGATGAAAGAAGGTGAGAAAGTCTGAAAATATGATTCTAACTATCCAGCTGGAAAAATGAGTGTAAAACATCTAGGTCAGTCTGGGTAGCTTAAAAAATGGTGCATTTGCACAGGAAGCCCTCAGATGATTAGAATCAACAAAATATGGAAAGAAGGTCCCATCATCAAAGATTGAATACTGTATTACAAATGTGCCAGAGAAAGTCTAGCCTCAAATAAGCTCAGGCTTGCCACAAGCAAATCTAAAGTAACAGAAACAATGAAAAACTCCAGAAAAAGAAGAAAAAGTTAAAATGAAAAATGAACAAAATGAAGGTTCTGTGCATGTGTGCACGTGTGTGAGGGGTAGGACTATAAGAGGCTCACGTAAAGGGAGGAGAGACTGGTGTGATTTTGATGAATGACAAGAAAAACAGAATGGCTCCACAACTATTTTTCTTCAGTATTTTCTGCCAGGAAATTATACTTAGATGGAAACAGGTTGAGCGTAAGTTGCTAAAAGGGACTCGATGCCCAAGGAGGTTCAGTTCAGAAGAGTTCTCATACTTTCTGATAGTTTCTAGTGCTTTTTTTTTAATAGCATGTTTATGTTCCAGGTTCAAAGACATTGATAAGAATCTTTGTAAAATATTGAAGAATGAGAAAAGGTACTAGAAAAGCATAAATGAGCAGGATTTGTTTGTTTTCAAAAAGAGAAAGTAGTTTTACAAACTAGGTCGGCACAATTTTAAGAGTTGAAGGACTGAATTTCAGAAGGAGCCAAAGGAAGGACAAGGGAGGCAGGCAGGCAAGGGAGAAGGAGAATGGTGGTGGAAGCACAGGTGACAGGGACTTTGACAAGGGGCGTGTACCTGTGTCACGTGCTGCTGAGAAGGTGCATGCCCTGTGGCTCAGCAGAGACCTTTGCACTGGGCAATGAGGACTGAACACCCGCTGCATAGCCCCTCCCCTTGGGCTGGCCCTTCAAAGTCACTTCCACAGGAGGAGCTGCTGCTGCTCCCTGTGGCTGCAGCCCCCTGTCGCCTGAGGCAACAGTATCAATTTGTTCACACCTTTCTGGATCCATGTCCTCCACTCTGGTCCTACTACTCCTACCCTGGGCCTGGGCTTGTGACCTGCTTTGACCACTAGGGTGACTGTAAATGTGATACAAGCAGAACTAGAGAAACACTTATGCATTGAGCTTTACTCCTTTGCTGCTCACAAAGCCCTTTAGACCAGCCTGCTGGAGCAGAGGCAGACCATCCACAGAGCCATCTGAGACCAGCCATCCGCCTACTGATCGCAGAACTCTCCAGTTGACCCCAATCTCAAGCTCTGACCCACAAAATTGCGGAATTGGAATAACTACATGGTGGTATTTAAGCCACTAAGTTTTGTGGCAGTTCATAACACAGCAAGCACAGCTGCACTGTTACAGCTGTCATAGCTGCACTGGGGGTGTGTATGTCAGATTAAAAGGGAGAACAAGATAGGTGAAACTTTCTATATCAGTTGGAAAGCTGTAACTTGATATAAAGCTCTCTGATTCTCATTTTTCCATTTTCTGCTGTCCAGAGATGACTTGCCTGGTCACTTGTGCCTTCCGAGGGAGGAACAAACTAGTTACTGTGATAACATGGGAGGTGACTGAAAAGGAGTAGAAGCCAAGTGAGAGGAAAGGAGGGAGAGAGGAGGGATTAGTTAAAAGGAAATCTGGAGACATCTGTTGATTCAACTATGTAGTTCACATATAACAGAAAGCTTTACAAATAGGTGGGTATATCTTTAGATAAACTTGGAATAAAATTATCCAATACTTACGTATATATCTTGAAATGTTACTTGAGTTTTTCTCTTCTTCCTTAATGTTATTATATACAGACATCTCATTTTCAGTTGTATTTTGTGCAAAAATGTTTACGACTCTTATAGAAATTGATACAGATCTTGCTTGCTGTGGAGATGTGCTAAAAATAAAATGAAACTGTCACTTGTAGAACTGAACAAATGGGCCAAGATTCAAACCTCCAAGATTCCCAGCCCTCATCCTGACCCACTGTTCTGTCTCCACAATTGGGACCCAAATGTAGAGGCCGAGAGCTAGAAGACAGTGTCAGAGATCTGTATTTGATGTGTGCTCAGAGGAAAGGGACGGCAAAAACAATGTCCTGTTAAAAGATACTGAGGAAAATTGTGGACGATCACTTTTAGGGTCTAGGAATCTGGAGCTAACCACGGGTAGAGCGAGTAACATCTGAAATAGTGAGTTGTCACTATCTGTTGGACAGCAAGGGTGGGTCTCTTAGCCATTAAATGACTTTTACTCTGAGAGAGACAGAGGGGTGTGTACTGGTCCCTGTGCCTGGGAAGAGCAGTAACCAACAAGACAGAGCCTGGGCCACTCCCAGGGAGGGCCAAGGAGTCAGCAGTTGGCGTCATAGTGGGCATGATTAGGGCTGAACACACATGGTCCACAGGAAAATGAAACAAAGAGGAACAGACAGAGGGAAACATGGGCATATGATACCAAATACACTGCCAAATAGTGAGTGTGCACTACAGCAAGGTGCAAAGCAGTCTCCCTCTCTCTAATCAGCACTGTAGATTGAAGCCCTAAGAGAAAGAGAATCAAGGATACAAGCACTGAGAAGAAGAAACGGACCTACTATAAACTTCTTCCTTGTTTGACTGGTGGCTCTGTGCTTTTTTTTTTTTTTTTTGACAGGGTCCCCCTAGTAGTTTGGGCTGGGCTTGAACTCACTATGTAGCTCAGGCTGGCCTCAAACTTATGGCAATTCTCCTGCCCCAGCCTTCTGAAGCATGCACCACCATGCCCAGCTGTGGCGCTGTGCTTTTAGGCCTTAATATACATTTTCGCTTTCTAAATTTTTCTGTGCTCCATTTTGACTTTTAAAATAGAGAAACCTAAAAACATATCCAACCTACTTGGGAAATGTTTATAGCCATATTGGTCCCCAGAACAACCAAAAAGAAAAAATCTGAAACATGAACCAAATTCCACTTAGAGGCATAATCACCTCAAAAAGGCATCCGAGACTGAGTGTCGCGTTGGAGGAGTAGTGCTTTGGTCCTCTGCTCCTGCGACATGGCCTTCAATTTTGAGACTCCCTCAGGTACCTCAGGTACCACTGCAGCCACTGCAGCACCTGCGACTGGGTTTAGAGGATTTGGGACATCTACAACTGCAAGTTCTGCATTCAGCTTTTCTGCCCCCACTAACACAGGCACTACTGGACTCTTTGGTGGTACTCAGAACAAAGGTTTTGGATTTGGTACCAGTTTTGGCACAACAACGGGAACTAGTACTGGTTTAGGTACTGGTTTGGGAACTGGACTGGGATTTGGAGGATTTAATACACAGCAACAGCAACAATCTACATTAGGTGGTCTCTTCAGTCCGCCTACATAAGCTCTTACCAGTCCAAACAGCTGATAAATACTGTGAGTGCTCTTTCTGCTCCAACACTACTGGGAGATGAGAGATGCTATTTTAGCAAAATGGAATCAACTGCAGGCTTTCTGGGGGACAGGAAGAGGATATTTCAACAGTAATAGTCCACCAATATTTCACACAAGAAAATCCTTTTTGCCAGTTTAAGGACAGAAGTTATTATTTATGTTGTTGAAGAAGAGTTCCAGCTATAACACTATATGCCCATTTTGAACAAGCCAGTATAAAAGCACAACTATAGCAACTTGGTGTAACCCTTTCTATGACTAGAACAGAACTCTCTCCTGCACAGATCAAGCAGCTTTTACAGAATCCTCCTGCTGGTGTTGATCCTATTATTTGGAAATAAGCCAAGGTGGATAACCCTGATTCTGAAAGGTTAAGTCTTGTACACATGGTGGGCTCTAAAGAACTTCTCCGAAGACTGAAAGTTCAAGATCAGATGACTAAGCAGCATCAGACCAGATTAGATATCATACGTGAAGATATCAGAGAGCTACAAAAGAATCAAACTACAAGTATGGCCAAAATTGCACAATACAAGAGGAAACTCTTGAATCTTTTCCATAGAATCTTACAGGTCCTCATCAAACAGGAAATTCAAAGGAAGAGTGGTTATGCCATCCAAGCTGATGAAGAGCATTTGAGAGTTCAGCTAGATACAATTCAGTCCGAATTAAATGCACCTACTCAGTTCAAGGACAACTAAATTAACTGATGTCCCAAATCAGGGTGCAGAACCATTTTGGAGCAGTCAGATATGAAGAAAGATATTACATAGATGCAGATCTATTATGGGAGATCAAACAGCATTTGAAACAACAACAGGAAGGCCTTAGCCACTTGATTAGCATTATAAAAGATGATCTAAAAGATATAAAGTTGGTAGAACATGGATTGAATGAAACTATCCACATCAGAGGTGGTGTCTTTAGTTGACAGTTCAGAAACCCGTGTTAGAAGCTTGTGAAATGTATCGTTTTATTGCATTGGGTCTTCCTTAAAAATGAAATGAGCACATGGAGAAAAAAGAAAGAAAATGATCCTCTCCTGGCTTGGAGTTTTGAGATTTCTGACAAATTACTCTTCACTAAATCTGAAATAAACTAGTCACTTCACATCCCTTCTAAAATAACCTTCGAAAGATTTAACATCAAAAAAGCTATATACACTTTAAAAGAGAGAAGTACCTAATCAACATTTTTAAAACAGCATTTTCTTAAACATCACAGTATTATTCTCCATTCTGCTTTCTATGCCAAGTAAATATGAAATATATACCTTGGATATAACTGTATAAATACTTGACTGTTGAAGATTTGAGATTCAGAATGTAAAGGACATCAGTTTTTATATATGTGAATTCAACTTGGGAGGAATAAAGCAAATCCAAAAGTATTTAATAATTAATGTGGTTTTCTTTTTGTTCTGTAAGATATGGAAATATATTTAAACTTTTTTTTAATTGTTTGACTTATTTGGAGTTTATAGAACAATTCTAAGCAGTTAGGATATAACAGAATTACTGGTTTTGGAAATTTGTTTTTTAAACCTTTATTTCTAAAAATGAAAACTTTTTAAATAAATACTTTATTTGTAATTTTAAAAAAGGCATCTGAAAAATTAAATAGACCTCAGATGTTTAATTTTTACATTTCTACTAGAATTCATCCATGTCAAATTTGAGGGGTGGCGGTGGGTTGTCTATGGCAGTAAGAAGGGATATGTAAGTTTTTCTATAGGAAATGCCCTGAAAGTAGCTGCTATACTGTGCTGTTTACAGATGTAATTTTTAAAAAATCCTTTCTATCTCCAGTTGGTTGAATGCTTAAATGTGAAACCCAGGCATACCGAAGGCCAATTGTCTCTCTATATTTTATCCTATTCCACAAATGGTTTCACATAGCTTTTAGGAAAAAATACAACAGTAAAACATAAAACATAAATATTTCATCACACTGCCGCCTCTGCTCAGTTCCATATCATCTCCGAGCACCCTTTTCCCTCAGCCCGTGTGCTTGTACACTAACATGCTCCAGAGAAGGCTGCCGTGGAATTGCTAACTTCTGAGGATCTTCTGTCTCTTTATGTCTCGAAGTAGCACCCCACTCTTGTCATCGCATGAAGTGCTCAACCAACACCGTTCTTACGGCAGAGAGCGCTCAGGATGGGCCCCTTGGTAAACCAGATGTGTGATTTGGGCGTCTCAACCCCTCCTCTTTCGACGCCACGAGGAAAGAGCTGACTGTGAGCTTCCCTTCCCCAGCCCACCTCTGACGTGCCCCCCCACCGGTCCATGGCAAACTTACCTCACTTTGTGAACTACAGTCTGTTTGTAATCTGTGTTTACAAATGCTTTTTCAAACTGTGGGAAAGAACAGATTTAATAACAAGTTGAAAAAAATTTAAGGCATTACTCTATCTAACTCTTAACACCAATTTCTAAACTCATTTACATAAATATACACGGCACATTGGAACAAATTACATGTCTGCCAATAGCGATCTTTGCTGTGAAGTCTCATAAGTCAGCCTTATCCAGGGGAAAGATGGAAAACACTCAGCCACATCAATTATTTTACTTTTAAAACTAAGGGGACCAGCTAATTTAGTTTGTCTAAGTTCCGGATAGAATTTGTTAGTCCTATCCATACATGTGCTTCATGCATTCATACAATTACCAAGGAATGTGTATTTACTAATTGCCTCTCTGGCCCAAGGCATTGTGCTAGGAGCCTTTTTGATCATCAACAGGCCAGTCCCAGCCTCGTGATCAAGTTGGAGGAGTTGGGGGATCAGACCCAGGAGTGCCTTGGAGAGGGATGAGCTCCCCTGGAAGTTCAGAGAGACTCTGTTGCAGAGGATCACAGAGGGCTTCTAGAGGAAACAGACAGGTCAGTCAGTGGTGCCAGGACACCAGCGAGGCCCATGGGAGCAGGCTTAGTTGGGGAGGACACCTAAAGTCAGTTTGGCTGCTTGTGTTTAATTGAACCTGACTTTTCCTGTGGGAGAACCTGCATAACAGCAGTTCTCACCCCACGGGGGTACAGTGTCTATAGGGTAAGTTGGAACATGTGGCACCTGGCTTTGGGGATCCCAGGGCTCCAGCACAGGTGGATCTTTGGGCATAGGTTGTGTTCTAGAAACAGAGACAGTTCTAAGTCTTAGAGCGGAAGTGGCTGCAGGCAAAGATGGCTGGATGAGGTGCAGGTAGCTTGGGGTTCCAATTGGCACCATGTCTTTGATGCCAAGAGCAGATTTTTCTCTTTCTTATACACAGCCTCATCTCCTCCCCTCCTATCCCTGCCCCAGCCACAGTGCCCAGGAAACACACCACACATACTGGTTGGATGACAACAGTTTGTAACTAGGTCCATGCAACCTTTCCATAATCTACCACTTTTATTTTTCTTCCACAGGGACCTCACATCTTAAAAGATTGGCAAGCAGTGGCATTAAAAAGATGTTAAGTTTAAATTTAAAAAAAATGTCTCTTTAATTTTAGCCAAATTCAAGTCAACTGCATGTTCTAGTAGCCAGGTTCACCTTACACGCAGGACACATCCAGATTTCTTTGTGCTGTTTTGTACACTAGAAATCACTGGTATTTCTGTAGCCCAGTGGGGTCCAAGGGTTCCACCGAGGAGCAAATGTGCTGGCTGACCTGGAAGGTCCCCTGCAGCTCCCCTGGTACCATTGCTGCGAGAGTTCTCGTAGTCCCCAAATGAGCTTGAGAATTAGCATCTGATGTGAAGAAGGTGCTCCCTGCCCTGCCTCAGGTCCCTGCCCATCACGTTTGAGGATGCTGCATGTACAGGTCATAATGTGAAGGTCTGTATGACAGGATGGGGAGTCAGGAGCTAGGCATATGGGCCTGTCTGAGAGAGCCAGCAGGTGAGCGGGGGAGTATGTGGTCAGGCAGGTCTGGGTTCCAGTGCCGACCTCCTCCCCCACCATCAGCTACTCATCTTTCTGATTCTCAAGGCCCTCATCTGTAAAATAGGCACTATGGCACTGTTTCCCCAACATGGATGGCTATTTTGAGAATGAGAAACATCACACAGAGAATGTATAGCATCCAAGAGAGCAACACCACACTGCTCTGCAGACTGTCTAGCCAATCCAGCTAGGGAGAAAGTGACCCTGGGAGACTCCCCTTGGCCTGACCTGGGAATGCCCCACAGGGGTCTTTGAAGAAGACCTCGAGGGAAATGAGCTGCTCTGTTCTCCTAAC